TTGCTGCCAAAAAGTCTGGTGACAATTTTCCTTCCCATAAGATTATAAGACCATTTTGGTCTTTTTCACTGCTGTGACTCATGACCTAATACTTTGTAACAAAGTGCCTTCTCATGTCTTCACCTGTCTTCTTTCACTTCATCTTTCTCCTTTTATATTACACATCTTTTTAATCCTATTTATTTATTTTTGAGATAGAGTTTTGCTCTTGTTGCCCAGGTTGGAGTGCAGTGACGTGATCTCCATTCACTGCAACCTCTGCCTTCTAGTTTCAAGCAATTATCCTACCTCAGCCTCCCAAGTAGCTGGGATTACAGGCGTGCACCACCACGCCCTGCTAATTTTTTGTATTTTTAATAGGGACAGGGTTTCACCATGTTGGCCAGGCTGGCTTCAAACTCCTGACCTCGTGATCCGCCCACCTCAGCCTCCCAAAGTGCTGGGATTACAGTCGTGAGCCACCACGCCTGGCCTATCTTCTATTTTTCTTACTCCTGTTTTTCTTCCTTCTTATTTTTGACTTGACTGCCAAATTGATATCCTCTGTATGGAAACCAATTTAAGAACCTCCTCTTTCTCTTCTCAATCTGTCAGAAAAACTACTTCCTTCAAGTTAGCTTAGGAATCTTCTATTCTTGAAATCTTACCCCACTCACTTTGACACACTGAAATCTTCTTTTCCTAATGACATTGCTTACAGTTTTAATGTAAAAAAATTCTCTGAGCAGCAAATAAATTATTGAAAATAATTTTCCAATCCTCTCATTCATTACTAAGAGAACACTCAGTAAAACAAGATTTAAACAGAGGAAGGGGATCTGCATATTTGTTGCAGTAGACAAAGCAAACAGCAGCCACATCTTCTGATCAGTAAACGTTCTCATTGTCCTGGAATTCTCTTCAGGTTAGATTTGTCTGACAATAATTGAATCATTGTTTCTTCCTCAAATGCCACTAGGTTGTACTCATGCAGCCCCCAGAGCGAGTGTCATATTTTAAGGGCTATCAGCATTCAGTCTGTGGGTTTCCTTCACTCTCCATGTCTTTCCCTGAAGCAAGCTTTATTCCCACAAATTATTTGCCCCAAAGTTGTTATGTGAAAATAGGAGGCTAACTTTTTATTGTCTTATTTATTCCTAAGACACACTCAGAGGCATTGAATGAATTACTGATTCAACTGCTTTGTTATATTTAAGGTTGAAAGTTTAACAATCCTTAGGAATCAAAACATTCTTGAAACCAGGTCTAATGTCCTGCACAAAATTATATTTGACATATTGCACATTCTAAACAAAAACATACCCAACATACAAACCTCAGATATGTTCTTCATGAATTTTATTTTTGCTTTTTCCAAGGCAAAATAAGCTTAATAATATTCTATATAAAATCCTACAAATAAAATGGAGCCTGTGTCTATTAAAGTGATTCCTATATTGTACAATAATATAAATTTGTGTCTATGACCTACTTGAAAGCCAGAGCTGTATTTTATATTTTTTGTATTCATTTTTGTATTCCAAGTGCTCTGTACAGTGCTTGACATATATACTTAGAAACAGCTACTGAATAAACAAATGTGCAAATGAGTAATAGGTGTGTGAATAAATGTATTCATTCAAGTCAGTATCTCTCAAAAATGAGAATAAATGACAGCTTTGAATTTTCCATATGCAAGAATCTTTAGGCAGTTTAATGGGAAGTGAAGCTTCTATCAGATTATATGTGAATAAGAAAACGTCAGTTGTTTGCATAAAAGGGCAGCTAATCAAGATTGTAAAGATTAGTTTTCCCCAAGCAACTCTTGTCTTCACTTAAATAAAAACAGTATCAGAGCTTACGTAAATAATAAAATGCTTACCTTATCACTCAATTCCAAATTAGAAATGAAAAAAGTGAGATAATGTAAATAATAAAAGATAAATCTATCTATCTATCTATCTATCTATCTATCTATCTGGTTATTGTCTTCTCTATACACCAAATTGAACTGAGAAAAGTCAGATTTATGTCTTGCTAAAATATGATTTTCTGTGTGTGTGTGTCTGTGTAATACATACACTTGGTTCAGCAAGTGAGGAGATACTTGGAAATTGGTTGAGCAGATGAAGAGAGACTTGGGAATTTCAGAATATCCTTCCAGCTCAGAGCCCTCTCAGTAACCAGGTCAGCAGCCATAGTTATAGACTTCCCTTCCACCTCACTAAAAATACAGGTGGTTTAGCTCATTAAACATTGACACATCCTGTCTTGGCACAACCTCTATCTCCCATGACATTTATATAAATTAAAACACTGGTAAATTTTATATTCTTAAAATTTGTTATCTGAAATAAAGATCATTTTTATTTAATCTCATAATTTATTTCTTCCACACTTCTCTCATCTTCCTCCTGTAGGTATTCTTAGTAATGTGGGCAGGACTTTTTGGATCAAGAACAAACATTCTCAGAAAGCTTCCTTTTTTGTTGTTCTTTTGTAAAATAAACATTTTTGTTCCTATTCTGAACATTGGAGTTGTTTGAATGATATTTACACCTTTGTAGATTTAAAAAATAGAAGCAGCTGGCAGAGGCTGTCCTTTTCTTGATAGGTGCCGAAATTTTGTCTGTACTTTCTCTTTGAAGCCAGATAAGTAATTAATCCTCAACAGAAACTGACCTCTTGCAAGTTGAACTGAATACAAGGTTATAAGCAATTGTGGTACACTAAGGAGTTGTCATTAATAATACCACCTTTCAAATATCACTGTTTGAATTGAGCTGAACTTTACAACCAATAATAGAGAGCTGTTTTTTTGTGAGGTCTTCTATACTTATTCTAGTCTCTGATTTTCCAGTTAATTTAGGAAATACCTTTCAGTTTATATATTGTATTTCTTTTCTATTGCTGCTGTAACAAATTATCACAAACTTTGTGGCTTAAAGCAACCCATTTATTACGTTTCGGTTCTGTAAGTCAGAAGTCCAACATGGGTCCCATTGTGCTAAGATCAAGATTTCATCAGGGCTGTATTCCTTCCTGGAAGCTCCAAGGGAGAGATCCCTTGACGATTCCAGCTTCTAGAGACATCTTATGTTCCTAGCCATGTGGCCCCTTTCTTCATCTTAAAAGCCAGCAAAGTGGATTCAATCCTCATATCACAGCAGCAGTCTGATCTCTTCTCTCCTTCTCCCATTTTAAGGATCGTTGTGATTACACTGGGTCCAGTCAGATAATCTTTCCATTTTAAGGTCAGCTAATTAGGAAACTTAATTTCATCTGCAGCCTTAAATCCTCTTTGCCAGGTAACTTACCATGGTCACAGGTTCCAGGGATCAAAACATGGGAATATTTGAGGGGACACAGTTTTGTCTATGAAATACATTTTCTATAGTTCTGCAGACTTACTTAAATCAGGGACTCTTAGACATGTCTTCTCAAATATGTCACAATTGCTCTTAAACTACATGTGTAGTCTGTTTCAAAGTCGAAGTGTGTGACTTTTAATTATTTTATACATTACTTCATAATGCAAAATGCAAACATTTATTGGCTGGAACTAAATAACATTTTTGTTTGTTTATAAACTAAGAAATATTGTAGCTTCTAGAATATGATGGTAAAAAGAAGGTTGAAAATTATTAGAAATTTCTTAAAACAACCAAATTTAATATTAAGAAATGGATCTGGAAGAGGTTGTGTTTTTATTACATTTTCAATATGAAAAGATATTTCTCATTCTCCTTTATCTCATGATAATGAAATTTTTTCAGACAGGCTTCTAACCCATTTCAAGCTTACTGTGAGAAGTACTTGAAAAAAAATGTTGTTATTAATAAAAATTAAAAAGTTTTTAACCCTTTTTAGTGGAGATAGTTGAGTTGAGTGAATATTCTGTTTCAGGGCCAAAATCCAGGCATACTCTACATGTTATACTAGTATGTCATGTTCAGCCATGTGCCTCCTTTAATCCCTGTTTATGATAAATCTGTGAACATAAATTCAAACCTTAGATAAGTTAATACACTTTTTTGTTCTTCCATTTCTTTATTTGCTCAGTGGTAGTAATAATATTATATATCTGACAGATTGAAGTGAGAAATAAACATGTTAAAACATAAATATCTCTCTATATAAAGCATTAGCACAGAGTAGGTGCTCAAAAACTGTTAGGTATCATTAACAATAACAAGATGGTCCAGCCTAAAGGAATCTTTAATTGCTGCATCAGACCACTGATACCTTATTTAAAGACCTTCCTGTGACTCCATAAAATTAAAAAAACTCAAGGTTTTGAAAACATCAAAAATTGTAAAAGTCACTTTAATGTAGCTACATTTACCATAATAAACTACAAGGAACAAGTCAAGCTAAGAAAGAGCGGAACAGAATATTAAGTGTTGTTGTCAAAATTAAAGTCACATCTGCTGACAAATTCTGAGTTCCATGACAGATGGTTGAAGGAGTACAATTTGCTCCAATGAAACATAGCTTATACTAGAAACATCAAGAGAAAAATTGCCATTCCTGAAAAGGGCGTTTCAGGTAGATAATGATATAGCTATGTGACTCATGAATTCTTATAATAGCTTTAAATAATATTTTGAGATTCATTTTCTGGTTAACACTTTATTATATACACCATTTACATACATCTCTTGAAAATCTTTCCCAAATTTATCAGTTAGTTCAATTACTTTACTGAATATATAAAGTATAATAAATCTAATTCATTTATTCCTTAGGTGATTATGATTTTCAAAAAAATTTAAATGCCAAAATAATAAAAATCAAATTGCATTGCAAAAAAGATTGATAGAGAAATGTTTGATAGTCATTACCAGAATTATCCTTTAAAATTGTTTTTGTCTTTACCACATTCACACACAATTGTCAAGAGAATTAATAAATCCATCAAAGTGAAGCAAATACTTCACAATTTCATTTTTCTCCTAACTTAACTGTGGTTTTTAAAAATTTGTTAAATAAAATGGTCAACAAAAGAGCATCTACTCTGAGTGAAGCAATGGACGAGGCACTGAGTTGTAAGTAAAAAAAACCAATAACAAATGTGGTCTGCTGATCTAATGGAAGGTGAAATGGTACATATGTAATTACAGGTATAATTATTAGTCCCAATGAGAAGTGTAAACTGTAGAAAATATGCAGTAGTTTTACCTTCCCAGGGCATTCAGAAGGTTTCTTTGAAGAAGTAATATTTCAATTAAATCCTAAATAATGAAAAATAATTAGCAAGGCAAGAAGTAGGATGAGTGTCCAGAATAACACCCTGGAAAATGTCAGTTATCAAAAATGAAGTCCTTTTAAGGAGCCAGAAGGCCAGGCCGATGAAAAGGAGAGAATGAAACTGAGTAGCATAAGGTGAACCTAGAGAGTGTGCAGTGTCACGTATCATTAAGGAACTTCCAAGTCAACTGAGGAATTAATAAACGTTATCCTGAGATAATAGGGAACCACTGAAAAACTATAACCAGTGGAGATATTTGGTTAATGTCTTAAATAAAACATACATGATTGGATTACTGTATAGGGCACAAAAATGAATTGCAGAAAATGGAAAAGGAGTCCCAGAGTCAATACAATATTTCAAGTGAAAATATGCAAGCTTTAAATGAGGACTATAGTAGTGATAGAGAGGGGAAGACAGATTCAAGATGTATTACTGTAGTACACCCTACAAGGAATGGTGGATTATTGGATATAGAAGAAGAAAGATGAGGAAGGATTCAAAGGTGAAACTCTGGTTTCTGGTTTAAGCAACTGCGTGAATAATTGTGTCATTTTTTTGCCCCATAGAACACTGTAATAAGAGCAGATTCTTGGGTGAATTATGATTAGTTTTGGACTTTCATTTGGAGACTTAAAAGATGTCCAAATGGAGCTATTGATTAAGTAATAAGAAGAGTGGCCAAGGTTAAAGTCATTGACAAATGGATGGGATGGTAATTTAAACCACAGTAGGTATGAAATAATTTACAATAAAAGAATAATAGGGAAGAAAAAAAGCTCTGACAAGGATATGATGGAAAATGCATAATAGAAAACAAACAAAACAAAACAAAAACCACGGAAAGACTCAGAAAGTTCAGTGTCATGAAAAGCCAAAGTAAGAAAGCAAGAAATTACAAGTATGGTGAATGGTATCAAATCCTGTGAAGAGATAAATTCAAAAAGGACTGAAAACTGTCTTTTGAATTTACTAACGTAAAGTCAATTGATGAACTTAATGTTAGTAGTTTTAGGGAAGTATAAAAGGCTTTGCAATTATTTAGAGTTTTTTGGGGAAAAGGAAAAAGTCTAGCTAACCATATTAAGGTGATTTGTTACAGTGGATAGAAAAGAGTTAAAACTATGTCTATGGATGGGGTAATTGCTGGTCAAGAAGAGACTGTTTAGCTAATAAGAAAGAGACTTTAGCATGCCAACATGCTTATAGATTTCCCTCTGTACTTAAATGATAAGTGGATATTTAATAGAAAAAGGGGGAATATTGACTTTGAATAGATTCATGAAACTTTCATTATAATTGAGGTGAACTTATTTTTCTGTCACAGGAGTTTTGTCAGTCTACCCAGTCAATACTTTCCTTTCAGACTCATAATGTTGTAAGACCGGATAGAGTTTTATAGTACTTAAGGAATTATTTCATTTGCTTAAAAAAAGCCCACAAAACACTTGTTTATAGTTATTTATCCTATATCTGTCTTATAAGCTCTTTTCTTTCAAATTAAATACTTTTTCTTTCATTTTATGCTTTTTCTAGGAAAATTTCTATCTTCTTTTGTATTATCAAAGAGATATTTGGAGCAGAGTCAACCCTCTCAGTTACATAAAATAAAAAATGGCATATTCTTGGCAAACAGATCCAAATCCCAATGAATCACATGAAAAGCAGTATGAACACCAAGAATTTCTCTTTGTAAATCAACCCCATTCTTCTAGCCAAGTCAGTCTGGGTTTTGATCAGATAGTAGATGAGATCAGTGGCAAAATTCCACACTACGAGAGTGAAATTGATGAAGACACCTTTTTTGTGCCTGTTGCACCAAAATGGGACTCAAAAGGGCATTCATTAAATGAAGCACACCAAATATCTTTGAATGAATTCACTTCTAAAAGCCGTGAACTCTCCTGGCATCAAGTTAGAAAAGCACCAGCAATTGGTTTTAGTCCTTCTGTGTTACCAAAACCTCAAAATATGAATAAAGAATGCCCCTGGGGAAGCCCCATAGGAAAACATCATGGTGCTGATGATTCCAGATTCAATATTTTAGCTCCATCATTCACAAGTTTGGATAAAATTAATCTACAGAAAGAATTAGAAAATAAAAACCGTAACTACCATATAGGATTTGAAAGCAGCATTCCTCCTACAAACTCGTCCTTCTCAACTGAATTCATGCCCAAAGAAGAGAATAAAAGGAGTGGACATGTGAACATTGTGGAACCCTCTTTGATGCTTTTGAAAGGCTCTCTTCAACCCGGGATGGGGGAAAGTACATGGCAGAAGAACATAGAGGTATGTATAATACATGTCAATCTAAAAATATGAATCTGAAAGAATCATTCAATAACGTATTGTGTTAATTTGGTAATGAAGGTAACTAACCTTAAATAGGGAAACCTATTCATATTACTTTTGAAAAAAATATTTTCAGAAATGATGTGTTCTTGTATTAAAGATTTTTTTCTGAGAAAAGGGGAAATAAAATTTTTTAAATATCATCTGTAAGGTTCCAGTTCCAGTTTCATCAAAACTGTTATAAAATTTTATTTAGTTTTAATTATGGTACTTTCATTTCATTGATAAAAATAGCAGAGTTGAAGGTTTAACTGATAATATTTTCTATTTTTTGTTTAATGCACATACGCAAACACAAATACGTTTCATTACATTTATATTTTAAGTCACATTGTAATGATTTGGAACTTTATATCATTATTGGTAGGAAAAAATGTCCCTTTACTCAGAGTCTCCTAATTTATACGATTAGCAGGCAACTTCTATCGAGATCATTCCAAAGGTAGGAAATTAAGTATTCATTGTGTGACTCATCTTAATGCGTTTATTACTAACTTCCCAATCATTTTAGTAACCAGAGCTTTTTTCTGTATTTGAAGAATTCTCTGTTTCTCTGCTTGAGTCTAGACACAAGTAAAATCAGAAGTAAATAATATTTATTTCTGATTTAAAAAAGAAGAAACATTATTGCAGCTGTAGTTTCCTGGTTGAGGCAGACGGGTTCTTTATTTAATACAACAACTATTTTAAAAATCCTTAAAATATATTGTGATATGCTATCCAGAATAATGCAAAGAAGAAAAGATATGATGTCTGAATTCAGGAATAGCATATTGCTCATGTTAACTTGCAAACAAATAATGGCAACATAGTAAAATAACAGGTGGAGTAAGTGCATAGGAAAAGAAACATCTAATTCTACTTCATTTGAATTCACTTGCAAAAGAGGTAGCACCTCAAAATATCTAAATTCAAATTCATTAAATCTTCAGGCTGTCTAGTTCTGATCACAATAGTGTAACAACTGCTAAACTTTCCCTACTCCTAAAAACAACTATACAGTTAGACGAAATAAATGAAGCAGTTGATTGAAGGTGTTGAATAGGCAGTATAGAACATAAATCCTTGAGAAAAGTGAGCCCTGTGATCATCTCAGTCTGTGCCTGAGGGCAATTTCATGCTGCTGTGCAGGCTGGTGGAGCCCAATCTGAGCAGCAGTATCACTGACTGCGAAGGCACAGCCTGCAGTTCCAAGTTGCAGAAGCAGTTATGATTTGACAAGCAGAGTGCTAAAGAAGAGGTAGCTATGAAACGGGTATGGGTCAGAAGTATAGAAAGGACTTACTGCTTGGCCAATATTAGGATGTGCTTGCAAGGCTTAGTAGATAATGTCAGCTTTTGACTGAAAATTGGATGGGATTGTGTTAATTACACAGACTTGAAATTACAAGGCAGAAATTTGGGCCAAATTAGAGAAGAGACTGAGCTGAGCACTTCAGGCATTCAAATGAAGCTACAAAGCCATGTCTTAAGAGTAAAACTCATGCTCTAAAATGAATGCTACATCAACCAAAATAGATGTGGCCTAACAACAACCAAAAATCAGAGTAATAAGGCAAACAAGACAAGAAAGATTTTAACTGCCTGTCAATGAAAAAAAAATCAATGATGATTCATAATGAGCCATCTACAATATTCAACATAAAATAAAAAATGCATAGATATGTAAAGAAGCAGGGAATTTTGGCTCTCGCTCAAGAAAATAACTCTATCAGTCAAAAGAGCCTCTGAGACAATCCAGATGTTGGAATTAACAGATGGGGACTTTAAATTGGTTATTAAAAGTATGTTCAAGTAGATAAAGTTAAAGATGTTCATAATGGCTAGCCCAATGATGAGCTCAGCAGGAAATTAGAAACATCAAGAAACAAACACACAAAAACAAAGGCCAAGTCTAGTGCTGGAAACAAAATATATGCAATAAAAAAGTTACTTGATGTGCTTAACAACAGATAGGAAAGAACAGGTGAAAAATAATAATTTGAAAGCAAAACAGTAGAAATTATCCAATCTGAAGTAGAGAAAACACAGGAATCATATAAATATGAGCAGGGATTCAGGGACTTATGAGACAAGAAGCATAATATGTGGACAACCGGAATGCTAACAAGAGGAAAGAAAAATAGGGAGCAAAATTAATTTGAAGAAATAATGGCCAGGAAACTATTCAAATTTGATAGAAAATATCAAATTACAGATCTAAGAAGCTCACCACAACCCAAATAGAATAAATGCAAAGACAGCCACATATAGACATTTTATACTCAAACATCTAAAAATTAAAAGAGAAAATTATGGAAGGGGGCAAAAAGGGAAGAAAAGATTTTACACAGTGGGACAACAATGTGAATAAAATGAAACTTCCCACTCAAAACAATGGAAGCCAGAGACAATAGAATGACATTTTTAAATCTTTGAAAGAAAATAAAACATACTTCATTTCCACTGAGTATAAGTTTCAAATCCAAAAACAAAATAAAGACATTACCATAAACAAATGTTGAAAGAAATCAGTCAGCTAGCAGACACATGAGAATGCCAAATTAAATACTTCCGGTACAAGGAAAATGACACCAGATGGAATCTAGGAAAGAGTGAAGAATGATAGAAATAGTAGTTGAATAATACAAATGACTACTTTAAATTTTTTGAAAGACAATGTACTAAAGCAATACAATAGCATGCTATTGTAGGATTTATTGTGTATGTGGATAAAAACTATTTGACAATAATAACATAATGGGTGGAAGGGGGTTAAATGTTATTTTGCTATGTAAATTCATATATGTTAAATGCAATGGTACAGTAGTAACTCCAAGTAAACTGAGATATGTTAAGAGTGTATATTGTAATTCCTAGAGCTAGTACCATGAATTATAAAAAAAAAAAAAGAAGAAAATCTAAAAATGCAGCAGAAGAATAAAATAAAATAAACATGTCAGGAGAAATAGAAGAACAGAATAAAATAGAAAAGACAATTAGAAACAAATATAAGTAAGACAGTCTTAAATCTAACAATTTCCATAAATATACAAAATGTAAATAGAATAAACATTCCAAACAAAAGGCAGGAATTGACAAATGAGATTAAAAAAAGGAAGGATTCAATTACTGTCTACGAGGGACACAAGAAACAAAGGCAGAGATAGATTGAAAGTAAAAGAAACAAAAAGACTTAACATTCAATCAGGAAAAAATGCTTGCATGATTATTAATATCAAAAATATTATTTCAGGGCTGAGAAAAAAGGGATCATTTTGTAATGCTAAAATGGTCAATCAGGAAGAGATAATAAATTGAAATGTGTACATAATAAGAGTTTTAAAATGCATAAGGCAAGAATGGTTTCTTTAATCCTACATGCGCTGTCTGACCAAGTTATTCATTCATATATTCCCAAGCTATTCATGTATATATTCCCAAGAAATGAAGCATGCATTCACATATTTACTTGTATATGAGCATTAACAGTTTTCTTTACAATACCAGAAAGCTAAAACCAACCCAGAGGTTCATTAATAGGAAGATGACTAAACGAACTGTGGAACAGTCACACAATGGAATACTACTAATCAGCAATAACAATGATAAACTACTGATATGTGTGATAGCAGAAATAATTTTAAAATATGTGTATCATTATATAGAAGCTGCAAATAAAATACCGCATATACCTTATTTATGGTGATAGAAATCTGAATAACAGTAGTTACCAAATAGATATGCAGATTTATATAAAAAAAGATATGGGGACATTTTCTGAAATGAAAGAAATGTTCTATATTGTCATTGGGGTATTGATAGCACAGTTTTATGCCTTTTACAAAACTCAAATTATATACTTAAGATCTATGCATTTTTCTATATGTAAATATTACTTCAATTTTTAAAAATCTAAAAAACAATTTAAAAATGAAATCTGAATGAAACTTCAAAACAGGATAAAACTGTAGAATTATTTAATATTTTCTCTTCACCAAATTATATTAATTTAGTAGTTTTTATTTTAAGTCAATAGGTTGTTCCATTCAGCTAGTGGAAGTACCTCAAGGCAGTAATACGAGTCTGGCCTCTTTTTGCAACAGAGTAAAAAAGTGAGTACTGGTATTTCATTAAACTTTGAAATTTTTGTGCCTACATAAATTTGTGTATTTTGACATCACTGAACTGATTAATTTAGCATATAAAAGTCAAAGTCCTGTAATTTCAGAACACACACACACACACACAAATTTTTGACAAATTAGTTCATTAATCAACTTCTGTTAATGTTTTTGTTGTTTATAGTCAAATAGATGTTTTTCTCTTAAAAATTTGGTTAAAGTTAAATGTTTTATAAATTCAGACGTGCACTTGTTTGTTGGTGGTTTGGTTTGCAATGAATTTTTTTGTTGTTGTTTAATGATATAAGTGACTAACACCTCTGGCTAACCCCCAAATTAACATAAATTTATCCTCCCTACCTGGGGCAGTCTATACAGAATCATCATAGTTCAATCTTATCTTGAGTGGATTGGCAGAATATTGAATAAATGCATGTGTGTTAATTCATTGAGAAATGAATTTGATCACTAGCAGATATTCCAAAAAAATCACTGGTATTTTGTTAATCTAAAGATGAATTTATGATATAAACATAGACACCTTTTTTAAGGCCAATTTCTTATTAGCAATTAAAATTTATATAGTTCTGCCTCTTCTGTTGCTAAGGTTTCTGAAAGTTTTGAAAAACTAATGCATTCGGCCAGGCACGGTGGCTCACACGTGTAATCCCAGAACTTTGGGAGGCCAAGACAGGTGGATCACAGGAGGCCAGGAGTTCAAGACCAGCCTAGCCAAAGTGGTGAGACCCTGTCTCTGCCAAAAATATAAAAGACAAAAAATTGCTAGGTGTGGTGGCATGCACCTGTAACACCAGATACTTGGGAGGCTGAGTCAGGACAACCACTTGAACCCGGGATGTGGAGCTTGCAGTGAGCTGTCACATCATTGCACGCCAGCCTGGGCGACAGAGTGAGACCCTGTCTCAAAAAAGAAAAATAAAAAGCTGGGCATGGTGGCTCATGCCTGTAATCCCAGCACTTTGGGAGGCCCAGGTGGGTGGATCACTTGAAGTCAGGAGTTCGAGACCAGCCTGGCCAACATGGTGAATGAAACTTCGTCTCTATTAAAAATACAAAAATTAGCCAGGTGTGGTGACAGGAGACTGTAATCCCAGCTACTCGGGAGGCTGAGGCAGGGGAATCACTTGAACCTGGGAGGTGGAGGTTGCAGTGAGCTGAGATCGCGCCATTGTACTCTAGCCTGGGCGACAAGAGGGAAACTCCGTATCAAAAAAAAAAAAAAAAAAAAAAAAGGAAAACTAAGGCATTCATATTTTAATTATTTGGTTTTAACTCAGTTTTGGCTGTTGTCTAAAATATAACTATACAGTTTTATAAACTTTCACTTTCTACCAAATGATTATTTGAAATTAAATGTTTGAATCATTTATTTAGTCATTAATTTAAAGTCTATTTCATTGTCTAATAACTAGCTCATGCGTGGAAGATACTCATATTTAAAATAAACAAGTAAACAAAAAAGCAAGGTCCCTGCCTCATAAAACCTATAACCATGAGAAGGATTGAAAAGCTTACACACAAAGATACAAAACATTCACCTCAAATTTGCAAAAACAAATCGCCTCAAGTTCACGGAAATGTTCAATCTTTAACTTCTTGCTCTAGTTTAAGGGAAAAAAATTCGAAATAGTACTTATGATTCCTAAATTAGTATTTTTAATGTTATCAATATTTATTATTTCAGGAATAAGCTACTCGCTGTCACAATATGATAAGCATAGGTAGAAACTTGCTACTTTACGTCTAAAATATAGTTAACTTTTACTTTACCTTCTAAGCATGGCAAAGAACTGTCTTAATACTTTAAGATCACTCTTGTGAATAACGCTACTCACAGACCACATTATTAGCTCCTCCAGCAACTCTCTTTTTTAAAACACAATTTCATATTCTTAGATGAAATGTTTTTGTGGATGCAGTAGTGACATCAAAATACCTTATGTGATGATTTTCCAATGACTTATAGTGTACTTTCCAAGCTCTTTAATATAATTTTTCTAAATAGTTTATTTCATAATAGTCATGAAAACTAAAATATACACCAAACAATAACTTCACAGTAGTGAAAAGAAGCCATAAGTTATATTCACACACTCTTTCCTTGTTTTCAATAATTTGTTGGCAAATATTTATAAAATGATTAAATGTATACATGCATAATTATTTTGTACACAACAGGATATTTACTCAAAAATAAGTATGTTTGAGGACCTACTATGTGGCAAGCACCCTTAATTCAAAAGAAGATCAAATGGAATTTGAGAGCTGTTTCAAAAGAGGGTCTCCAAAACTTTGATTTCTCATTGTAACATACTTTAAAGCCACATCTTTCAAATAAAAAATGCCATATTCTTGTAACAAATATGATAACATGCCATACCATATGAAAGAAGTTTCTGGTCCACGGTAGATGCTCAGCAAAGGTTTAGGAGAGAATGAATCATGAATTTGTGTTTTAAATTTAATTTCTTAAAATGGTAGAAGCTGAAATCATGGACGCATTGAGAAGTGTCTTATTATGTGATAAATGCAATTCATAAGGCTCCTCAATCCCTAACTGGACTCTAGACCTTAATGGTAGAGTATAAAAATGAGGAGTGGCCCACGTCCTCATTCTGAGCAGTGGCTCTCAAACTGCAGTTTCAGAGCAGCAACAGCAGCAGCTTACTTGGGAAATTGTTAATAGGACAAGTCTGGGAGACCCTCCGCAGATCTACTGAATCAGAAACTAAGGGATGGGATCCAGAACACAAGTGGATACAGATGCATGCCAGGCCATTGGATGAATGTGTATTTCCTTACCCATTTGCCAGGCCCCTCATGGAGAAGATGTTTCCATAGAATAAAGCATTGGTACTCCACAAATAGCTATTAGGTTCATGCAAAATTAACTGCAGTTTCTGCAATTTAGGAAGAGAACCATGAAGTTTAGATGTCAGCATAGTTAACATAAAAAAAAAAAAAGACTTCATATTCACCCTCAGAAACATTTTAAATAGCTACTTGAAAATATCTTCATGTTATATTCTACATGTGGGCATAAAACATTGATCATAGAGAATCAAGCTATGGTAACATAATGACATTATACTTTACATGTGTATATTGCTTTACAATCTGTAAATCTTTTACACGTCTTTTCCATTGTAATAGAAAACCTTTGATGTAGATATTAATATCTACCTCAGTAAACCTTTGAGGTAGATATTAATATCATCACTTGTGCAAAAAAAACTAGTCAAATAACTTGCCTCTGGCCATAACGTTACTAAATGAAAGTGCCAGGATCCAAAGTCAAGGCTTCTGGCTCCAAGGGTAAACTGTTTTTGCAATTCTTTGACTCATTTATGTGTAATTGTTCAGAATATAAGAATTACTTTTAGGCTCTAATATTTGTGTAAAATTCAAGTAGTTGTGTAGTATCTAAAAATTTTAAAGAAAATGGAGAGACAAGAATAGTGTTTACAAACTTGACAAAAACAAGAGAATTTATTTGCCAAAATTTCTAAATCAAAACGAGTGACTTGCAGCTTGACAAAATTAGGCGTGAATGAAATCTAAGAGGAAGAACTCTGGCATTAAAAGCAATGTAAATGAAGCAAGTAATAATATTCAGAGTGAATCCTCACGTTTCATGTTATGACAATGAATTCTTAATTATTTCAAATGAAATGCTCCTGGGAAAGCCTAAGGAACAGTCCTTTACGCTTGTTTTTGGTATAATTGCAATCTCTACCAATCTGGACTAGCTAGATGCACTGCACCACAAATCAAGTACTGATTCCTTTCATGTTTTAAGTCTTTTATAGCAAAACACCACATGAAGTTTCTTATGATTATATTGTGGGCAATATGTTTTAAACTGTGTCTTGCAGGTCTTGTCCTAAGTATTTTTCTTAACATATATTTTTCAGAATCAGAGAAAGATATCATGCAGCTGACATTAATTTCAATTCTGGGAAGATCTGGAGCACTACTACAGCATTTCCGTATCAGCTCTTTTCTAAGACCAAGTTTAATATACATATTTTTATTGATAACTCAACACAACCTCTTCATTTTATGCCATGTGGTAAGCAACTTTACAAATAAGTCTACAAATCTCTACAAAGCTGGTACTGGCTACGTAGCCTTGAGTTCAAAGTCTGAAATGATTTAAAAATAATATTAGCTACTGTTTTTCCCTGAAGTGAAATAAGAAGAAAACATCAGGGAGCCTTTTGTTAATATTTAAGGGAGGAAAGCAGAACTATTTTCTTCGAGAAGTATCTTCACATAGCTCACCCCACAATATTTTATCTTCCTGCTATAAAATGCTTAATAGCAAGTATAGCAGGTTTTTAATATATTAAAAAAATGAATTTCAAAGAGATTCTAGATAAAGATGGTATTAAAGTAAAAATGGCTGCTTCTATCTAGTAGGAACAAATATTTCATTGAAATACAAATAAATTGTGAGGTAGAATAGACATTGTTACACAGAATCTCTATTTCCATAATGAGGAATCTAGTAGCATGGTGTAACATACCTCCATCAGAATTAGCAAACCTATTGATTCGGTCTCTGGGGATGAAACCCAGGAATTTATATTGTATCAAATTTGCCTAAGGATTTTTACTTTTCTAAAGTTTTAGAATATCTGTAAAGTTATTTAGTATCTTACTTCATTGTTATAGTCCACTAATCTGCAAAACAGTATTAGCTCTTTAAACATTTAGATTGCTATTGAGTTTCTACATATTAACAGGAAACTATTTCCTGACACATAATGATCCATTAAATATTTTCTTGTATTTATTAATTACTGTTATTATTGTGCTTCTTTCTTACTCTATTCAAGGTTCTGAGCTAATGCAGATGACTACAAACATAGCAGTATTATATTGGTATATTAGTCAAGACTCTCTTGGTTTGAAATGAAAAGAAACCAATTCCTGCTAGCTTAACCAAAAAAAAAAGTTTTTAAAGAATATAGGGGCTGGGCACAATGGTTCATGCCTGTAATCCCAGCACTTTGGGAAGGCGAGGCAGCCAGATCATCTGGGGTCGGGAGTTCGAGATCAGCCTGAGCAACATGGAGAAACCCTGTATCTATTAAAAATACAAAAAATTCGCTGGGCGTGCTGGCACATGCGTGTAATCCCAGCTACTAGGGGAGCTGAGGCAGGAGAATCACTTGAACCCAGGAGGTGGAGGTTGTGGTGAGCCGAGATCGCACCCTTGTACTCCAGCCTGGGCAACAAGAGCAAAACTTCATCTCAAAAAAAAAAAAAAAATATATATATATATATATACACATATATATATATATGGATTTATTATAGAATTCAAGTGTATGAATTTCAGCAATTAGGAATATATGAAAAACACAAATAACCAAGTAGCCCAAAATTCCTGTATGCATCTTATTTCATTTCATATAATTGCTTCTCATGTGTCTCTCACTCTCTGGTCACTCATTTCCTTTGCTTATATAAAACAAGTGGGAAGCCAAGCTACTAGGCTAGCTATCTATAGACAGTTCAGTATCTCTATGGGATCCAACTCCCAGTTCCTAAAAGCCAGATTCTGATTATTCAGCCAAGATCAATGGTGCTGCACTTTGATCCAGTCAGAAAGACCAAAGGTTGGGTCATGTTGTCTTCAGTTGCTGGCCACTATTAAATAGCATGTTCATGTAAGAGCTTAAAAGGGGAGATTATGGTATGTGAACATGCGAAGACAAATGACTTTACCCTATAGCATGTCTACATTTTGAGTTCCAAAGAAAAAGGTGGAGAGAGAGAGAGAGCAGATATTCATTAAAGTTTCTACAATATAGCTGTTCAAGATAGAACCTTGAGTAATTACTACATGGGAAAGGAATAAGAACCAACGGTGGCTTTGGAGTCTGACTGATCTTGTTTAGAGTCTAGAGAACAACCAATTGTGGAGACTTGGAATCATTAGGGGCACAGACCTTGTAGTAAACCAATATTGTTTAAATGTGATACTTAACACTAACTGTGTAATCTCTACAAAATTGCATAGCTTTCCTGAAAATCTGTCAATTCATCTTTGAAACTTGGGATATAATACCTATATAAAAGGTACAGTAATCAAGAAATTACATGTAAAGAACTTAATAGAGTAATTGCTCAGTAAAATATAGCTATTATTAATATTAATACTAACATTATATTCCAGAGTGAATATAACCTGCATAATACTTTTAAATTTACTGACCATATTTGTCTATTTTTTTTATGGTAGCTTCGCACCAGATTCTTGAGGAAAATGAATCGTGCTATTATAAACCCTATTTAACAGATGAGGAAACTAGGTCAAAAAAGTGAAATAACTTATTCACATAGATCAACTAAAAAATGAAAAGTCTGTATTATTTCCATGTCTCGGTGACAGAACATTGATAAGAACATCTCAATCATCACAGAATTGTCTTAATGTCATGGCATGAATATGAATATTAACTAGTATAAATGCCCTGAAAATATTCCAGTTAATTCAGAATCCTTTTATCATGCTGATACTCTAAGAAGGAGCAATACATCTCACTGAGATTGAAAAATGGAAAGAATAAAGCACCCCCTGGAACTTTTGCCTGGCTGTACTCAAGTTCCTGAGTGTATTTCTCAAGTCCCTAAGAGAAATTACAGTAGATTTTGATGCAGAACTGCAGTGTGCCAAGGGCTTTAACATGAGAAACACAATACCTAGCTTTGTTATATTACATGAATACAGAACTGATCAAAGGAATTGCAATCAACATTCTCCCCAAATATCTTTAAATCTAACCAAACTGATAAGTGAGATGAATCTCAGTTTAATTCCCCTTGATGAAGCTAGACAGTTACAATCCTTTGTACTGTGTTGGTCATATTTTGTGCTCAAAAACTTTTCTTAGTCAGTATGATACACTTTTATTGACTTTTATTATTCCTCTTTGTCTTTAGCTAACTATCTTGTCAAAGATCTAATTGCAGAAATTCTGCATTTTTGTACAAATGACCAGTTACTGCCCAAAGATCATATTCTAAATGTATGTGGCTCTGAAGAATTTTTACAAAAGTAAGTATTTTATACAATTTTGATTATGTTATAATCTGTAAATATTAAGTTACCACTTGTTTTTGGTTTTGTTTTAAACAGACATTACGCAGACATTATAGTCTTATAATCAGCATAATTACATCAATTTTACCCCCTTTGCAGTGAATTTGAAATTTTCTAAATCATATTAACAGTCTTATTCTTGACTTTATTTTATTTTATGACTATTTATGAAAACAAATATTTAAATGACCTGTGACTAGGGTGACCAACCATTCCAGGTTGCTTAGGATTGAGATAGCTCTCAGAATGTGGGAATTTCAGCTTTGAAACCAGTAAAGTCCCAAACTAGGACAAGTTGCTCATCCTACCTGTAGTAAAGCTTATTAGAACTGATCACAGCTAAGTAAATAAATTCTTTGGTGATAAGTACTTTTTTGGTTAGAATAATACTTGTATGTTGATTAAATACTGATTTTTTAAAATCACAGGGGCCTTAAGTATAAGCATTATAACGTACTTTTTATAGAAGAGTTACTTCTAAAACACCATTTCTTTGTTGAGGCAGCTCATTAAAAACAATTGGAAAAGTCTGTTCTCATGTATATCAACTTCAAATACTTATTTGATAAAAAACATCATCTTTTAGTTTACCAAAATAACTATTTGCCTGAAATTCCTACAGACCAGCCTTGAGCAGATAATACAGCTTTAAGAAAATAAATATTTCTCTGCTGATATTGCATAGTTATTCTAAACAGTAAGATATTAAACACTGAAATGTTTCATACAGTAGATTCCTATTTATATATCTCCTTTGCATCTCTACAAGTATCTAAAGATTGAAAACCATCTCATGGAAGTAAAAACGTATTTCTTTTGAAATTCTCATTGTCATTGTCATTGTCATTGTTCCATCATGAATGTGCTTGAAATTATCTTTTGGGAAGTTTGATAAATTTGATGACATTCTTATTAGTAAATCCAGTTGTTTATTGTGCAATGTTAACAGTGAATGTCTTTTAAGACTAATGATTTTCTTTATTGTGGGAAAAATAATATTTTATTATTTTAATAACAAAATATATTAAAATATTTCAATAACATTTTTACAATCATTATTTTATAATAATGATACATAATAAAAAATAAATATTTATATGCAATTACATATATTTTGTTGCACTAAGTTCACGGATATTCCATTTTCCTTTTTTATTTGAACTTATTAACACACTCAGTCACTGGTCTGCTACCTTCTCCCAACATATGATTTTGACAGTAAATCCAATGAGCACAGGAAAGTATTTTAGTAAATTTAACCTTATATTGATTACTCATTAAAACTCATCTTTTGAATGTGCAGTTTTCCACATGTACATCTGGACTTCTCTTGGTGCCAAAACATTAGATCCAAAGAGCAAAACATTGTCAAATACTTGCATTAAGTTTTAGCAGTAGGAAATATCATCCAGAAAGCAATTGTATTAAAGAGACAGAAATTTGGAAAAGTATAATGTGAAGAAAATGTATACACCTTGATTTAATCACTGTTTTAAATAGGTAAATTTTACATAAATAGATGGCTCAATATTTAACTGATAAATGTATATTTTAATGTTTTCATAGTCATTTAATCATATTAAAATTTCTTTAATTGGGTTTTATTAAGATAGAAAAGTTGCCAAATGTTAATGTATGTTAAATATAGTCATTTATTCCCTAATGGACATTGAACCATTTGTGTATATCAAGGATTTGCATATTATTTAAGAGTAATAGGCTACTTGTATTGATAGAACTTATTTTAATGTGCAGAATATTTATTACTGTTTTTTCTAGTATCTAAAGGTATATATATAAATCATTCAAATATTACTTTTAGTGTATTCCTATGTAATTTGTCTAAAATATGTGTCCTTAAAGACTTGGAAATCTGTTCATAAAGTTCTACTTTATACAGAGAACACAGGTAGTATGTAATACGTTAACAACGGTGCAATAAGTAAAAATTTAGACTCTAAAACTTATAGAATTATACTTCCTTTGGAGTATTTGGCTGGGGAAAATGCTAATTTTCTGATAATACTTCAAAATAATGGTCAAATAGATCATGAAACATATTACTACAAACATAGCAGTGTTATATTGGTATATTAGTGAAGACTCTATATTTCTCAGGGTTAGTGAAGTAATAAATAAAATCCTAAAAAGGGAGAAATGTAAATAAATATGACTCTGAGCCCATATAATGCATAGAGAAGTTTCACAATTATTCTGATATTAACACAGTGTTCTCAAATGTTAAAGTGTCACCTGAGGATCTTGTTAGAGAAAGAATTCTGATTTCAGTTGGTCTGGGTGAGGCCTGAGGCTCTCCATTTCTAACAAGCATCTGCTGATATCTATGCTGCCAGTCTACAGTCCACATTTCAAGTACTGATATATTAGAAGCCAAGAATAATGACTTAAGAACTTAGACTCTCCAAAAATTACTCTCTTTTCCAGAACAGCACATGGTATAAAAACTAGATCTAATCAACAAATTAATAAAGATGTTTATACCTTGTAATTTTGCAAAATTAAGAAAGATAATTTTCCTAGCAAATCAAAATTTCCTTTTTCATATGTCAATAATCACTAGTATGCTTCTGCCTCTTCTGCTCCCCCAGTGACCCTTTCTCGCACTCTCATACTGGTCAGTCCAACCTCCTCAACCTCAGTTTCCCTTATCTACACATACTTTTCCTGTCACTTCTATGCCGACTCTGTCTCATGTGCCTGTTCTTGAAACTTCCATACAATGCTTATTACGCCACAACAAACAAACAAGTAGATTAGAGGCGTGGGCTTATCCCGTTGCACTGTAACCTCCTAATGCTCAAGGGGGTACAAGGGCTTCGATATGCGCCACTCAGTCTTACCTTTTTAAAAGAATTCAAGGATGGTTGTACTCAGTATGGTCCTATTTCTCCATATGTTAAGATGGTATTACAGACTCTTTGTACTGAGGTCATTTTGCTTCCTTTAGACTGGGACCTTTTGGCAAAGCTGTTCTAACTCCATCTCAGTATTTACAGTTCTGTACCTGGTGGTCAGAGGAGGCCCGTTTGCAGGTTCAGCTAAATTAGGCTGATGGCATTCTAATTACTCAGGCTTAGCTCACAGGCTCCGATAATTATTCTGATACTACCGCCCAATTAGGTTTTGATGCTCTTACCACGGAACAAGTAACAAAGGTGTGTATGAGAGCTTGGGATAAATTAGGCACCCCAGGCCAAGCTCCTGTGTCTTTTGCTACTGTTAAACAGGGTCACAATGAATTATATCCTGATTTTGTGGCTAGGTTACAAGATGCTGTTCAAAAATCTGTCTCTGATGAGCGTGCTCAGGGTATTCTCCTTCATATGTTAGCTTTTGAGAATGCGAACCATGAGTGTAAAACAGCCATGCGTTCCATCCAGCGACAAAATGTACCTGATCATGAGGTGTTGCCTGCATATATTAAAGCTTGTGAAGGCATTGGATCGGAGACCCACAAAGCGATTATGAGCACGGGCCATGAAGGATGGCAATCAGACTGACACAACTGATTCTTTTCTTGGAGCCTGCTATAATTGCAGTCAACTTGGTCATACTCAAAAAAATTGCACTGTTAAAAACTTAAAAGTAGACAAGCCGGCTCAAAAACACAGCCAAATGCTCCTGCTACTGTTTGCTCGTATTGTCATAAAGGTAAACATTGGGAAAGTACTTGCTGCTCTAAGTATGATACAGATGGAAATCCCTTGCCACAGAGTCAAGGAAACAGGAAGCGGGGCCAGTTCCAGGCCCCAGTATCAAATGGGACACCTCAGACTCAGACCAATGTTGAGTTTCCGCTTCAAGCTGCACCAACGCAGCCCCCCACACAAACAAATTTACCTACAGCCAACACAGACAGGTCCCAGCCTCTTCTTCTATCTCAGTACCATGCTTGTCTACCTCCACAGTGGGGGATGGGGCGGTCCATCTCTGTAGTACCATGCCTCTAAATTTTCTGCCTAATTCTTTGCCTTTAAATATAACTATACTATTTTTGCAACTTATTTAACATTTATTTTAATTTAGTATCATAAAACCTTTTCTCTCGTTTAAAATATCCCATGACTCACTCATTCTTATTCTCCCTTTCATTTTCTCTCTCTCTCTCTCACTTTCTTACTCTCACTCTACCTGTCTGATTTTAAATAATACACTATATAATGAACACAGAGCAAATTAAAGAATCAGAACAGAAACTATCAATTTTGTCATAGGTTCATGGAAGCTTAATACAAAATTGTTAGCAATATGAGAAATAATAGGAAAAAAGAAATAATCTGTTTCATTAAAAAAATATTAAAAATTTTAATCATGTTCCTGTTCTTCAACTCCCGATTTCATTACCATGGAGAAAGGAGTCCATACTCTTATGCAATAGCTTGATCCCAGTCAGTTTTTCCAGTGAGCTCAAGGACGGGAACTATATCTTTTCTTTCCCATTGAATGTAGCATAGATATGAGGTCCTAGAAAATGAAACTACTATTTCCTAGACTGTCCCTGCATCTCTCTTTTTTACAGAGAGTAACAATTGTGCCTTCACCTATACTTGTAACCATCTCACATAAGTTTTTTCTTCATAAATACGTTGATAATATATGAAGTATATTGCTTCTTCATAATTTTATCTCTTATTACTCTCTAGCCAAATATTTACTAGGAGCTCAGGTATTTCTGTTTCTCCATCCTAACCAAAAAACCACTCCTGTGATTTTTTTTTCTCTACACCTGTGGTTTCTTTTTATGACTTATTTTCTTATTGATACACTGTAAATATTCATAAGGTACATGTGATATTTGAATATCTACATAGAATGTATAATGATCAAGTCAAGATATTTAGAATATCCACCACCTCAAACATTTATCATTTCTTTGTAGAAGGGGGTCACTCATATGTGGGAACTAAAAATGGTTCTCATGGAGTTAGAGTATA